ATAAATGTGGAGTGATACACTTGCACAAGGGCAAACAAGGCAAGGGAGGACATGATAAACAGTAGTCCCAAGGATCAGAGAGACCTTGGTGTACACGTACATTAATCCCTTAAGGTATCAGGGCTGACCGATAGAGTGGTGAAGAAGCCATATGGTATACTTGCTTTTATTAGTTGAGACATTGGAGTAGGGAGTCTGTACTGGAATTGTACAAGATATTGGTTAGACCACAGCTACTGTATTGTTCTGGAATTCACATTGTAGGAAGGATATGATCGCACTGTAGAGGGTGCAGAGGAGATTTACCAGGATGTTGCCTGGGCTGGAGCAAATCAGTGATGAAGAGAGATTGGACAGACTGGGGTTGTTTTCCTTCGAGCAGAGCAGACTGAGGGGGGACATCACTGAGACGGATAAAATGATGAGGAGCATTGATAGGGCAGACAGGAAGAAACATTTCCCCATAGTACATAGAACATAGAATAGTACAGCACAGTACCGGCCCTTTGGCCCACGATGTTGTGCTGATCTACTATCCTACTCTGAGATTGAACTACCCTGCATACCCTACATTTTACTATCATCCATGTGCCTATCCAAGAGTTGCTTAAATGTCCCTAAAGTATCTGACCCCACTACCGCTGCCGGCAACGCATTCCACACACCCACCACTCTCTGTGTGAAGAACCTACCTCTGACATCTCCCCTATACCTGCCTGCAATCACCTTAAAATTATGCCCCCTCATAATAGTCATTTCCGTCCGGGGAAAATGTCTCTGGGTATCCACTCTATCTATGCCTCTCATCATCTTGTAAACCTCTATCAAGTCACCTATCATCCTTTTTCGCTCCAATGAAAAAAGCCCTAACTTCCTCAACCTTTCCTCATAAGACCTGCCCTCCTGTCCAGGCAGCATCCTGGTAAATCTCCTCTGCACCCTCTCTAAAGCTTCCACATCTTTCCTATGCTGAGGTGACCAGAACTGAATACAATATCCCATGTGTGGCCTAACCAGGGTTTTATAGAGCTGCAGCATAACCTCACGGCTCTTAAACTCAACTCCCCTGCCAATTGGGATCAATGACTGGGAGCATTGATTCAAGGTAAGGGGCAGGAGGTTTAGAGGAGATGTGAAGAAAAACCTGATCACCCAGAGGCTGGTGGGAATCTGGAACTCACGACCTGTCAGGGTGGGAGAGGCAGGAAACCCTCAGAACATCGAAGAGGGATTTAGATGTACACTAGTGATGCCAAGGCATACAAGCATACAAGGCTGTGGGCCAAGTGCTGGGAAATGGGATTAGAATAGTTAGGTGGTTGAGTTTGACCAATGTGGATGTGATGGGTGAAAGGGCTTTTTTCTGTGGACTCTGTGACTCTAAAGGTGTCAGACAATGATTGGAAAGAATTCAACGTGACTATGAGAGCGCTGTCAGATAATGATTTGGATCTTTCAATGCATCCCTTACAGCACAGTGAGACAAAATCTTAGGGGAGAAAAATACTTTGTAATTATTGTGATGAAGACAGCAGAGCAAGAACATCGGTGAATATCAGGTATCCAATGGACTCTGGTGCTTCTTGCAACATTATGAAGTTCGCAGAACTGTTTAAAGTGACTCCAGACAATGACCCAAAATTGAGAATCTCCAAGATATAACTGAGACTCTGTGACAGAATGGCACCCATCCGGAGGACAATCTAGTCTGAGAGCCCCAAGCTCTGATAAATCGGAAATCCAGAATTCCAGACACAAAGCTACAGCCACTCATCTCAGCAGAAGCAAGTTGAAAGCTTAGCGTAATAATTCTAAACTCTCCAGAAGAGAGCGACAGTATATCAGAAGGTGAGTTACTCACCGCATGATTCCTGCTCTCTGATCTACCCTCGTCACTGCTGCGCTTATACAGCTAGTCCAGCTCAGTTCCTGGTCAATGGTAACCCTGAATGTTTATAGTTGGAGGGGTTTCAATGATGGTAATGCCATTAAAGTGAACATCTAGGGGACACTGAAGAAAAAGGGTCACCCATTTCAATCGGAGAAGGGAAGGAATTTCATCTCCCAAAGAGGTGTTAGTTTTTAATCCCCCATATAGCAGTGAACGCTGGGTCAGCAGTTACATTCATGGTGGAAATGCCTGGATTTTTGATCCAGAAGGGAGTCACAAAAGGCCACAACCAGATCCATTGTAAACTCAGTGAGTGGTGGAGCAGGCTTGATGGGCCAAATGGCCTTTTCATGCTCCATCTCACAATCAGGGATCCAGTAACAATGGCGGTTAGCAAAAATTGCTTCTCACAAAGCAGAAAATGGGCTTCAGCAAGGAATTAACAGAGCTTAGCTAATTATAACTGCAGTCACTCACAGATGTACAGATTAAAGTGTGCTGCTGTTCAGCTGGTGAGCATGGTGAGCTCATCAAGTTAATAAGACCATGGCGACCCCAAAGCTTTCATGTCCGTTATGCGAAATAGTTTTTATAATATTTAAAAGCTTATCTCCTAGACAAGTGTTCCTGTTTTTTTTTTAAACAGACACACAGACTGGTGCATTGTGCTCATCTCCAAATTTGAAAAGGTTATCAGAGCATGGCAAAAAAAAAGGTTGACAAGAATGATATTAAATTGACGAAGGGCCCAGATACCAGGAAAAGAAGAAACTGGCTGGGGTGCTTTTTCCCGGGAAAGAGACGGCAGAGAGCTGCTCAAGCTAGAAAAGGGTTTGTTTGGGTAGCATGGAGAAAAGGTTCCCACTGTGGCTCCAAATCCAACCAGCCCTCTACAATTGAGAGGTAAGAGGAAGGAACAGCAAGAGGAGAATCCACCCAATTCTTTCATGGTGTGCAAGGAAGAAGAATGAGACTGGTGCGGACTTAGTGACATGCAAACAAAACAAGGGTGATGTGAGAGAAAAAACCTCACACAATGAAGAGTTAGGGCATGGAATGCGCTGCTTGGAAATGTGACGGGGCAGCTTCAATTGACGCATTCAAAACAGACACTGCATGATGATTGGGAAAAAGTCAGAAGTCACATGACACCAGGTTATAGTCAAAGAAGTTTATTTGAAACCACAAGCTTTCGGAGCGCCGCTCCTTCATCACCTGATGAAGGGGCTTCGCTCTGAAAGGTTGTGTTTTCAAATAAACCTGTTGGACTATAACCTGGTGTCGTGTGACTTCTGACCTTGTCCACCCCAGTCCAACGTTGGCAGCTCCACATGATGAGTTGGATAGAGGTGGTGTGCAAGGGAATAGGTGGGAGATTGGCACTAAGGAATGATACTCGTTTGAAGAGCTGGCACAGGCACAATGGGCCAAATGGCCTCCCTCTGCGCTATAACAATTCTATCATTCTCAGATCAAGATGTCGCCAAATCATCCAGTCAATAAAGTTGAATAAACATGGCGTCTTAAACATCAGGTTCAATTGGGTTTGTAATGAATCCCGAGGCTTCGAATAAACTTTCTGATCAACCATCAAGTGGGAGATGCCCATCTATATCAACCCAATCATACAAAAAAAATCACCGACTGTGTTTAAAAGGACCAGTTTGGGAAGGGAGGAGTGAGGTAGAGAAGGTAGTAAGAGGCTGGAGAGAATGTGGTTACAAAAAATAGTAAACACAATTCAAAAACACTTCTCAGTGACACTGAAATTTTAAAGCTTGGAGGCTACCGGCATAGTCAGACTTTTACTCTTCTGGCTAACCAGGTCAAAATGGAAAATAATACTTCCTGTCATTGAGTGTCAGAGAAAAAGGCGCTGGAGCTTCCTGAAGTAAAATACAAAGTAAAACTGGTGACTAAGGTGGAAAAGCAAGTTGTGTTTGTGAACATCAGTCAGAGACTTTAACCCCACTCTGATCGTGCTGGTACTGACCACGGTTACTGCAAATGGCTCACAAATGGCTGCAAACACCCACACACAGAGATGTCAAAGGCTTCATTCCCTCCCCAAACCCTCTATCTGTCCTCCTGCAAACCTGCCTCACTGACCATGTTTTCAATCATTTGCCCTACAATCTCATGATGTGGCTCGGTGTCCTAGATTTGTCCAATAATACTGCTGGAAAGGACCTTGCTACTTTAAAAGTGCTATATGAATGAATCTTGTTGTTGCTTCTGTCGCCTCCTGTCCCCTCACAAATTGTAATAGAATCATACGCCAAGCACAATCTATAAACTTTACAGTCAGAAATAAATGCAGCAGTTTCATGCATTACACCCAGGGGCCAATAACACTCACAATGGGATATTCCTTTTGCAAATGCACATTAGCGTGCTTGATCAACACTGCATTCACCACCTTAAACATTCACTCGGTCTACCATCGACACACAGTAACAGCAGTGTGTCCCATCCACACAACAGAAACTCACCGAGGCTCCTCAGACAGCACCTTCCAAACCCACGACCACATCCATCCGGAAGGACAAGGGCAGCAGATACATGGGAACACCACCCCCTGCAAGTTCCCCTTCAAGCCACACACCATCCTGACTTGGAAATATATCACCGTTCCTTCAGTGTCGCTGGGTCAGAATCCTGGAATTCCCTCCCCAGGGGCATTGTGGGTCAACCCACAGCACATGGCCTGTTGTGGTTCAAGAAGGCAGCTCACCCCCACCTTCTCAAGGGGGCAACTAGGGACGGGTAATAAATGCAGTCAGTGATGCTTACATTATGAAAGAATGAAAAGAATTAAAGAAAAACTCAGGTGCCTGACCAACATTGAAATGATTTCTCAATCACTTAAACCCTTTTCCCCTCTAGTGCACATGGGAGTAACCTTGCCTTTTATTTAAGTGGAAAGATTCTCCATGTTTCGTTGGGAACTCGTTACAAATTTTGCCAACTTTTAGTTTGGCAGGGCCACGTGCTTATTTACTGAGTGAATGGTGTCACTTCTCCCCTGGGAATAGGAGACACATTGACACATGTTGTAGATGACGGATGTCGAGTGGTTTGAGGATGTACAGAACACCCTGGTACTCACTGAGTGGTTTGAAGAGACTCCCGTTCGTCTGGTCATCATTGTTCTCATTGTCTGAGCGATCAGAGGCCTCGGCTGACCTTTCCCGCTCTTTGCTCTTCTCCTTTGTCCCTGTTCGTCTCCGATGGCGCCTCCTTCTGCGGTAGCTCTTTGGGACGTGGACCCCAATATAAACCGTATGGTGACCTGAAACAAACAACAAAAGGTTAACCAGGGGCTCAGCTTCCTAACACAATCAGTAAGCATGCATGCACTGTCCCTGTACAGCACTAACCACTCAACACCAATCTTAGAGAATGGTGTGGAATAAGGGGCCTTTAGCCTCTTCACCCTTTGGTGCTGTTCAACTGGCTCATGATTAACCTGCACATTCATCATGTCTACCAACCTTGGATCTGTAACCCTTCATACTCCAACCAAGAAAAGTGTTATATGTTAAATGTTAATACTCGTATCTCATCACATTCCTTAATCTTTTCCGAATAAATATACAGACATTGAAAGAAAGAGTACAAAGAAAGAATAATTAATTATGGCCTCAAATATCAATCAAAGAAGATCAATTTCTACCTGCAATAACTGCTGAGCTATTCATTAGGGATTCTTGGAGTTCAGACAAGCATTCATAATGAGACCATCTGTGAACTGTGTCAGCACAAACAAATAATGTTGGCATCGTTTTGTCCAGTTGGACTTATTATGAATGCTTGAGCCGGTTATGTTATGATTCAATAAGATCATGGATGACCTGTGGTCTAATTCTATATAGTTCATCCTATATCCCTTAAAGATTTTGACTATTGGTCACAGATTTTAAATTAACTATCACTATCACTTTACATCACTTACTCTTGCCCAAATAAACAAATCATTCTAAACCTTTTACACTCAGGTCCCAAGTGGAGGATTATGTTCAGTTCTAAGAATCCCACATCGAAAAAGATGTCAAGACCTTGGACAGAGTGCGCAGAGAATGATCAGTTTGTACATGAAAGGAGAGAATTCAGTGAATATGAAGACATTGAAGAGGCTGGGATTGCTCTCCTTAGAGCAGAGAAGGCTAAGGGGAGATTTAATAGAGGCATTTAAAATTGTGAAGAGATTTTGATTAATTAAGTAGGGAGCAACTCTTCCCACTGTAGCAAGGTCAGTAACACTAGGCCATATAATTTAAAAACTGAATCACAGCCAGAGGTAGGAGGATTTCCATTGCAGAGTGAGTTGTGATCTGGAACATGTTGCCTGAAAGGGGAAACAGATTCAACATCCAAATCAGAACTAGAGGAATACTGGAGAAAGAAGAGAGTGCAAGACTAGGGGTCAGGTCAGCAGCTATAGAGCTATTCCCCTTTTCGGAACGGACCATATGGCCTCTTCCTATGCTTAGGTTAGTGGGAAGAATTTGAATGCCAAGGGAAAATTTGTCACTTTTATCATGAACAAAGTGACAGTGATGGTGACACTCATCTTAAATTTCTGATCGTTCCATGGAATGGAGGATTCCTGATGTGTCAATCCTGGACATCAGTACTTTCAAACAGCGGATGGATGCTGCTGACTCTGTAAGATTGTCTGAGAACCTCCAGCAGCGAGCAATTAATAACCCCATCAGCTCCACTGAACCAAACACCCTGGGGCAAAGTAAATAGGGCATGGACATTGATTTTGTTCCTGGGAATGGTTTTGTTTTATTGGTTGGTAAAATATTGTTGATGTATTGGGGAGCAGAGGTCATTCAACCAAGCAGGGCTGCTGAGGTGAGATATCATGTGGTAAACCTTCCAGGAATACACCCAGCCTGAGATGGTCAACTGCCTGACTTTGCTGGAGGGAAACTTTGCCCTCGATTTAAAAGCAGTTCTTGCCTCTCAGACCTCACAACCAAATCTTTACATCCATGAGCCTGCTTACACCCCACTCTCCCAACTGTGGTGTGTAAAGCTCTGCATTGCTCCCTCAGAGAGCCAGCACAGAAACGAGAGGCTGAATGGCCTCCATCTGTGCTGTAACCATTTCTACGTGTTCCATGCACACCTCGAGTCAACGTGCAAGGTGTGGAGTTGCGGCACAGTCTCGCTCTAAGTGAAGAATGGGGTTGATTCAATGGGCTGAATGGCCTCCTTGACTTCCTGCTGAATGTAAGGCTCCCTCAAAGCTTTCTGGTAACACAGCAACTGGGAGGTTCCACACACGCCGAATCGGTATAGCAATGCACTGACCTCTCACACAGGGATTGCTGCCATACAGGGACCTCAGGGAGAAAACAACATGAGAGGAAACAGTGGTTCTATCACCTCTCCACTTCCATCTCACTGTCTCACTATCATTCACATTTTCCATCCCAAATAAAAATCCCCAAAGTTTGACTCTTGAAAATTGAAAAGGCTGATGAGGGGGATATGTTCCCACTTGTGGAAGAAAGGAAAACTAGGGGTCAATAAAAACCAGACAGTCCCAAATAATTCCAATCAGGAACTCAAGAGAAACTTCTTTCCATAGAGAGTGGGGAGAATGTCGAAGATGTTATGTAATAATTGAGGTGAACTGGAGAAGAGGAAGATGATTAGACACACGAGGGAGAAAGGAATAGAAGGAAGCATTGACAGAGGAATATGTAACAGCGTGAACCATAAATGCCAGCATGGATCAGATAGCCTGAATGGCCAGTTTCTGTGCTGTGTAATAAGAAGGTTTGTTTTGGCAAAATCCAGCTGGTGACCACAGACAGATGCCTGGGGCTTATAAACACACCTCCCAGGACACCACATGGTGCTTATGTAATGCAGCACATACTGCCAGAGGATTAATGTATTGTGCACTAACCCAAAACAATAATAACCACTGATTAAACAGTCAAACATGCACTATAATATCCATCATATTGGCCAGAGTGAATGCCGCACATTCTAATAACAAGACAGTGCAGGAGGATTGGTGAAATAAAAACTCCGAGAGGACTGATATAACCAGGTATTATCCAAATGCAGGCTGTTACATCAGTTCCCACCTGACAAAGCCTTCACATTTACAACTCTTATTTTGGTGTTCAGAATTCTGCAGAATTTTGCATTCTCCTTATCTCTATGACCTTCCCTGGCCCTACAGCCTTTCAATTTCTCTGCAGTCCTCCAGTTCCGGCCCTTCACTCTACCATTGTACCTTCAGCTACCTGGGCCCCTAGCTCTGGAATTCTCTCCCGAAACCATTCTGCCTCTCTCCTCTAGAACGCTCCTTAAAACCTGCTCTTTGGACCAGGATTTTCGTCACCTGTTTCAGCATCAAATTTGGTTTGGGACATTAACAGCTCTACAAATAAGTGCAAATTGCTGTGGAATATTACAGAATTATAGCAAGCTTGGTTATCAACTAAGAGCAGAAATCAACAGGTTTACATCAAAGATTCTGCGCTCACTGAACAGTTTACCACAGCACCTTGCTACTCTGCATGTGGAGAGAGAGACAGACAGAGAGAGGGAGCGAGGGAGGGAGAGAGAGAGGGAGAGAGAGAGAGAGAGAAAAATAAAAAGAACTTCCATTTTTATAGCACCTGCACCATCTCAGAATACATACTAAGGGGAATCATAGTCACTGTTAGCTACTAGTTGCAGTTAAAGGAATTGAAAGGAAATGCCATTTACATACCCTCTACTTCCTCTTCATCACAGACATGTTTGATGAAGGAGGCTCCTCTGTCCAGTACAGCCTCATCTTCCATCCTGTAATAGTAGAAGAGGAAGAAAGATTAGTCGCATTTTTCTCTGGGTACACTAGATGTTGCTTCCGGGGCTACTGGCTGCATGTAAGCCCTCCCTCACTATTTTATGGTCGACAGAGACATTGTTGGTCAATGTGTACCCTCCGCATTGTCAAAACCTGTGTCCTTGAAAGGCCTGCTGAGTTGCATCATGTGAGCAAGTTAATCCAAGCAGGCTCTTTAAGGCTGATTGAGTTTGACGTGCTGGGATCTGACAGGGCTGGGCTGTAAATGCTGTTGTAGCCACACAGAGGCTGGGTAAGTTCAGCAAGAGGCCTCCTTAGTTTAAAGGGTACAACTACTTCCCCACCTCCAAACACAAACTCAGCAAATCACATGTCCTCACGCACTGGTAAGTCAACTCAAGCTTAACCAGAGATAACAAGGTGTAGAGCTGGATGAACACAGCAGGCCAAGCAGCATCAGAGGAGCAGGAAAGCTGACGTTTCAGGCCTAGACCTTCTTCAGAAATGGTCTTCTAAGGATGCCCTCAGATTCTCCAGCATCTGCAGTTCCTACTATCTCTCAAGCTTAACCAGAATCCCTCCCTCCAGCCCATAGAAAGGCAGTTCAGAACTGAGACTCTGTTCAAACAGAAATAAAATCCTGCATTGATAAAACATTTTTCATGACCATGGGACACCTCAAAGAGTTTTTCTAAATTCTTTCATGAGATGTAGGCATTGCTGACAAGGCCAGCATTTATTGCCCATCTCTAATTGCCCCTTGAGAAGGTGGTGGTGAGTTGTCTTCTTGAACTGATTTCCATGAATTTTGACCCAGTGACAATGAAAGAACCGCGATATATTTCCAAGTCAGGATAGTGAGTGGTTTGAAAGGGAACAAGCAGGGAATAGTGTTCCCATGTGTCTGTCGTCGTTGCCTTTCTAGATGGTAGAGACTGTGGGTTGGGAAGGAGTAATTGAAAAAGCTTTGACAAGTGGCCACAGTGGATCTTATGGAAGGTATGCACTGCGGCTAACGTGTCACAAGCGGAGGAAGCGAACCACATTGCTGAGAGCCTGGAGTCAGGCTACGTGAGGGCAGCAAATTTCCATCCCCTGGACACCAGTTTTCACAACAATTTATGATAGTCTCAGTATTGGTGACTATGACAACTATCTCAATAATGTGTTTTCTTAGGGAAGCTAGTCGAATATTAGCTTTTATTGCAAGAAGATTTGAGTACAGGAGTAGTGGAGGCTTGCTATAACCCAGAAACCTGGTTACACCACACGTGGAGTACTGTGTGCGGTTTTGGTCTACCTCATCTCAGGAGAAATGTCATTGCCATAGAGGCAGTGCAATGAAGGTTCACCAGACCTGTTTCCTGGATGGTGGGACTGTCCTATGGAGAGACATGGGGCAAACTGAGCCTGTATTGTCTACAGTTTCAAAGAACGAGAAGTGATCTCATTGAAACTTACAAAGTACTGAAAGGACTGAACAGGGTGGATGTAGGTACAATGTTGCCTCCAAGTGGGGAGTCCAGAAGTAGGGGGCACAATTTAAAAATAAGGGGATATCACTTATGCCTGAAATGAGAAGATTTTGTTTAAACTCAGAGGGTTGTGAACCTTTGAAATTCTCTACCACAGGGAACTGTGGAAGCTCAGTTTTAGTTCGATTTCATTTATTATTGTCACCCGTCCCTAGGTAGAGTGAAAAGTTTTGTTTTGTGCGTAGTACAGGCAGATCATACCATACAAAGTGCATTAGGGTAATAGGACAGAGCGAGGAATACAATGTCACGGCTGCAGAGAAGGGGCACAGAGAGCATGATCAACATTAAATTTAAAATTTGAGCAGTGTCTTCAGAAGTCTAACAGAAGTGGGGAAGAAGCTGTTCTTGAATCTGTTGGTATGTGTGTTTAAACCTTTGTACCTTCTGCCTGACGGAAGAGGTTGGAAGAAATTTAAACTGGGGTGGGAAGGGTCTTTGATGACGTTGGCTGCCTTCATGAGGCAGTGAGAAGTGTAGATGGTGTCAATAGATGGGTCTTTAGGTATGGTTTGAAGTAGAGTTTGATAGATTTCTGATTCCCAGTGGCATATAAGATTATGGTTATGGGGCAATCAAAAGGCATTGAAACATCCAATCAGCCCTAATCATATTCAATGGTGGGGCAGGTTGGAGGCACTAAATGATCTATCCTGTTCCTAACTGAATTTAAATTCTACCACTTGCCATGAACCTTCCTCCCCGAGCCAGGTCTAACAATGCCTGGTCGAGTGGCATTATCACTGTGTTACTCAGTGAAGTCATTGCAGTACTTTTTGATTTGCAGTCACTTAACCTAGCATGAGAAATATCGACAAACAGCAAGATGATAGTGGCCAGATTCTCCATGTTTTTGTAGCCCAAGGCCCAGAACTCCAGGAAGAGCCCCTCTGCCTTTCTTCAACAGAGTACTTTGGGATCTACTACCCTATCCAAGCATTGGGGTGTTGGCTTAATGCCTCATCGAAAAAGACAGCACCCTGGACAGCACAACGGAACGTCAAGTTTAGTTTGTACGCCAGACATGGGAGCAGGAGCTTTTCTTTCGTTGAACTCAATTTTCATCATTCGTCATGGAGAGAATCAATGCGACATCCCCAGAATGAGCTGGAGTATCTGGGTGTTGTATTGCTAGTTTAGTGACATTACCAGCTACACCTCTGCCTCCTCCTGAGCTCACTCACAACCTGGCCACTTAGAATTGAGAGTGTTACTAATCGAGCCACAACTAACACAACTCCATTAGTGAGATCCATCCAGAAATCAAGAGAGATTGTTACAATATCACTGTATGGAAACAGCACAGAGACACAAATCTCACCGTCACAAGTGTCAATATAACATCACAAACATGTCCAGAATCATAAAGGTCTTCAAATAGAATCATGGAGGTCTACAACATGGAAATGGACCCTTCGGTCTAACTTGCCCGTCCCACGCAGTTTTTACAATTAAACTGGTCCCATTTGCCTGCATTAGGTCCATATCCCTCTATACCTATCCCATCCATGTACCTGTCCAAATGTTTCTTAAATGACAAAACTGTACTCACCTCCACCATTACCTCTGTCAGCCCGTTCAAGACACTCCCCACCCTCTGTGTGAAAAAACTACCTCTCTGAACCCTTTTATATCTCTCCCCTCTCACCTTAAACCTATGACCTCTAGTTTTAGACTTCTTTAACATGAAATTTATTTTACCTCTTTGAAGACATGGGTGACAGAAAGCAGGCTGGGGAATGGGGGATCTTGTGTGAAGGCTTGGATGTAGGCATTCCAGAAGTAAACCTGGAGTACTGTGTACTGTTTTGGACTCTTTATCTGAGGAAGGATGTTCTGGGGATGACGGGAGTGCAGTGAGGGTTTCCAGACTGATTCCTGGTTGAACAGGACATTGGTGAGGCCACTTCTGGAGCACAGTGTGCAGTTCTGGTCACCCTGCTTTGGAAGAATATTATTAAATTGGAGAGGGTTCAGAAAAGATTCAATCAGGATGTTGCCAGGAATGGAGGGTTTGAATTATAAGGAGAGGCAGGATAGCCTGGGACTGGAGTGCAGGCGGTTGAGGGGCGACTTTATAGAGGTTAATAAAATCATGAGGGGCTTGGAATAAGGTAAACAGCAAAGGTCTTTTCTCTAGGGTGGGGGAGTTCAAAACTGGGGGGCATATTTTTAAGGTGAGAAGTGAAGGATTTAAAAGGGACCTGAGAGGCAACTTTTTCCCACAAAGGGTTATTCATTTGTGGAATAAACTGCCAGAGGAAGTGATAGATACAGGGACAGTTATAACATTTAAAAGACTTTTGGACAGGTACATGAATAGGAAAGGTTTAACAGGGATATGGGTCAAACACAGGCAAATGGGACTAGTTTACTTTGGAAAACTTGGTCGGCATGGACTGGTTGGACCAAAGGGTCTCTTTCTGTGCTGTATGCCTCTATGAATGAGGGGGGAATCTCATAGAAGCCATAAAATTCTAACAGAACTGGACAGGGTAAACACAGGAGGGATGTTCCTGATGACTGGGAGTCCAGACCCTGGGGGTCACAGTCTAAGGATATGGGGTGGCATTAGGACTGAGTTGAGGAGAAATTTCTTCACTCAGAGAGTGGGGAGCCTGTGGAATTCTCTAGGTGGTTGAGGCCAAAACATTGAATGCTTCAAGAAGGAATTAAATATAGTTCTTAGGCCTAAAAGGATCAAAGGATAATGAGAGAACAGGGGACTGAGTTGGATGATCAGCCATGATCATTCTAAATGGTGGAGCAGGCTCGAAGGGCTGAATGGCCTCCTCTTGCTCCTGGTTTCTATGTTTCTATTAAACGGTTTCACATTAAACACTTGGGATGCGGAGGGTGCAACTTTATCCAAGTCCCAATCATTTTAAACCAATCTGAAGATGGTATATCTTGGTGTTTTCCTGCTTTAGAATTTACCCCGATCAGACATCAAGATTCTGCAAATGTTCAGTATCTCCGTTTTAAAACAGGACAACCTTAAGCTGCAAAAATTCAGAATACAAAAAAAAATACCCAGATGTCAAAAGAGAAGCAGCTTGCGTTTCTTCACCACTTTACAGAACATTCCAAAGTCCTTAGCAACCAATCAAATATTTTTTCTTAAATGTTAATGCTTTAAAACTTGGGAAACACTGCAGCTAATTTGCATACAGTAAGCTCCCACATATAAAATAACTAACCATTAAACAATTTGCTGTACTGATATTGGTTGAGGGATAAATATTAGTGAAGTTGGTTGAGCGAGTGTGGGGCATATCATTACTGCCCAGAGACATAACATTGATGGTCATTATTTTGAACACCCTTCTGTGGCTGGCACAGTGCCTCACAGCGCCAGGGGCCCAGGTTCGATTCCACGCTCAGGCAACTGTCTGGGTGGAGTTAGCATATTCTCCCTGTGTCTGCGTGAGTTTCCTCCGGGTGCTCCGGTTTCCTCCCA